AGGAAAGGTCTCACTTTGGTGACATGCAGAGATTACTGTATTTCTCTTACTGAACAGTAATGCCTAGGTAGCTGCCATAACAATTGCCAAATGGAAGAATTACAGCATTCACGTTTACACACAATTATTTAATTACAGCAAGAAACTGAGACAAATATTCAACCAACGTGATTTCTTTTCGGTAGTTATGTTTACTTTACAAGATATAAGAAAGGCTTTGTGAAAACAGAAGAAGGAACCTGTATAAACGTATCCTCATCGTCTCCATACAGGTTCCAGGCCGAAGCCAAACTGAAGACATCTCAAAACTGCTCTCAACTGCAACCATTTTTTAATAAGAAAAACTGAGATCACCCCAAGAGTGACACTCATAGCAAAGTTTAAAACTAGTGTGTGCTAGTGAAATCTTGCATTAAAGTAATTCTCTTCACAAAACTTACAATATAAAGTGGAATATCAAATAAAACCACTGTTTAAAAGCATATTTTCTGGTCTACAAGCCTTGCATTGAGCTTGCTCGAATGAAAAGTCAACAAGCAAAGTTTACAAACTTCGCAGTTACAAACAGTTTTAGTGGTAATGACTAAGTTAATACAAATATACATTGGTTGCATAATGTTATACCTAGAACTTAAGCCTCTCCAAGTCATTGGTTTCAGTGAAAGGCCTTTATCCACATGGTACAGGCTATTTATCTGGCTCAGCTCCAGCTTCTGAGATCAAAAGATTTTTTTTTTTTTTAAAGTTTTGTTTCTAAGCTTTTTTTTTTTAAGCTTTGTTTCTGACCTAATTTTAAACAAATTTCTAGGTCCAATGATACAAGACTCAGGAGTTTTCTTACAGTTCTTTTAAAGACAGTGGCAACTGTTCTGATGAGTATGCTACTACTTTGCCAGCAAAATACATTTCTTAAAGAAAACAAACAAAAATCCCTGAAAGCACCTTAACAAGCTACCTTCACTTTTCCCACTTAGCAAAAGGGAAGCTGAGGTACAAGGAGCTTGTCCAGGATCCAATCTCTGTGTGCTATCCTGTTTGCCACAGTGCCGCCTCCACTGAATTATTGTTAAGATTTCAACATGCAATTTAAATATATAGCTATTGAAAAATATTTCACCAGTAGGTATATAGGAAAGTAACTTACCACAGGGCTAATATCAAATCACAGCAGTGGTAAATGAAGTCCACTGTCATCATCATTCTACTGAGTAAGTACGAAAACTTTCAGAATCACTAACTAAAGGCATACACTCCTACACATTGGGTATTACTGCATCTGCTGACTTCCTCCTAAATCTACTTTGTTAATAGCATTAACTTAGTATAACGTAAGACCTGGCAGCCACTGGCCCAGTTTGTAAAAATATTTCTTTTAGCCTTTTGCAGAGAAAGCCTGAAACTCAGTTTATTTGTCATTCTCAGCATAATGAATTACATCTGCAGATAAAAAAAAAGGATTATGCATTTTTCCAAAGCATTATGTAAAAGTCTGTGCTTGTTGACACAGAAAACTGATGGTTGCCCTTCTTAATTACTGAATATTCCAGACTTTGTATCTTCAAATTTTCCTCACTATATTCCATCTCTGCTCCCCAATTTGCTGTTGATCATACAAAATCCCACTAATCTCAGCAATAATCCAAGTAAACTCAGAAATTGCCTACAGCCAAGCAAACTGCAGGTCTCTGGAAATGAGTCAAAATATGGAATATTAGAGGAATTTCAAAATGAACTGTGTTTTAATAAAAACATCGATAGCAGTGCCAAATGCTGTACTACACTCACTCCATGTCAGACCAGGTAGTTTTTGGGTTGTGAGCCAAACAAGAAATGAAACCAACTACATACAATATGTTGTTAGAAATACACAGACCGTAAAATTACTTGCTTTTCCTATTGTAACTACAGTATTCTCAGTAATTATATGTAATTACATGTACTAGATTGTAAAAATTACTTGTTGGTTTGTTGTGGGTTTTGGTTTGTTTTTCCCCTCTCATTTTTGAGGTACTTTTCAACGCTGCATTGGAAGGCCAACCAGCTGGTTTGGAAGTTGTGATATTGTAGGAGAATGAATTTAAGTGACCATCTCTTAGTTTTGCTTACATACCTTAAGTGTTGGATCCAAAATAAATGAGTAAGAATGAAAATCAGACATGAGAGTGGACAACAGCAACATACCTTTTCTTACAAGTTGCTGAAGTTTTAGGCAAATAAATTGTTTACCAGCAGAAGCTTCAAAATTATTTTGAATTAACATATGCTTTTGTCCAGTCTGATGAGGAAAATGTATCATAGACAGACTTGCTTTTACATCTGTAACAAAACATACCTGTCCCAGTCAAAAGTCCAGCACTCTTCTTTCGTGCATAAGCGCGTAAGTGGTTGGACAGGCTAACAGCACTTGTAAACGTCGTATTGCAATGCACACACGTTCTAAGCTTCACAGGCATACCTATCATTCAAAAGAAAACTATAATCCAGTTCTCTCTTCAAAAAATGAAATTCTCAAAGCGTTGTAAAAAGTTTTCTGCAATAAAGATGGTTTAAAATATATTCACTGCATTGACGCAATTGTTTAGTATATTAGAAGGATCCAAGTTAACCGTTATTAGTTTTCCATGTAGTGCTTTAAGCCAAACCATGTTATTTGAAAAAGAACAGAAAGGAGGCAACGTGAGCCCATTAGGCTACTCTGCATTTAATACCTACTATCAAGTTCCTACAGATCTCCACATTATGAAGCTCTAATCGCAAAATACAATCCTGCAATTTGAACAGCACAATTCTGTTGAGAAATTTCAGAGCTTGCAACATTTCCAATGAAGAGGATTTTAAAAGTCTAGTTGACAAAGCGGTAATTAAAAGTGTTTTACCCATAAGACTGAAGAGCTCGATACTAAATTAGGCTGCTGTTGAAGGCTCGGAGAAAAAGGTGGTAAAACACACCACTGAACAGCTGTTAGACAAAACATTTTGTTCAGTGCATTTTCTGTTCATTACTTTAGATGCGCAATAGATAATGAAAGTTAATGATTTGAAGTTTTTTGCTAAAATCTTTGTGCTAAATAAATGATCAACAAAGCAACATGCTATTTATCACAGGAAAACAGTGAAACAAAACTGAACTCCTCACTTACCAAAGAAACCATTATAACTTATCCCCTGCTCAACTTCACCATAAAGTTTCTCCCTTCACTTTACCAAAGATATATTGTTTCGGTCAACTAATAGTTCAAGTTCTCTACTAATAAATTCTTAGAAGAATAAATATAAAAGCTAAAACTACTCAGCTGGAAAGCCTCTGTTTGCAGGAAAGAAAGAATCCTATTCTCCAGCAGCCCACAGAAGACATGCTGTTTTTTCAGGCAAGTTACAGAAGAAGAACACCTGGTTGGTAAAAACCTTTTTAGAAACTAAAACCAGAATTAGAAATATTTGCCTTTTTAGGAAAACCAGAAGAATTTCAACTGGATGTTAAATATTTTCTTATTAACTCAACTGGCACAGTGCGTTAGTTGTCAAATTCTGTTACCTCAGCCACAGATAATTATAGGGCTCCATTCGTAACTGTTAGTACTATGCAAGCATATGTTTATTTTTACCTGGTTGTTCATCACAACCAAACAGGTGCTACCTAGTATTCAGCAGTAAATATTAAACAGAAAGCAATACACAGTGTCAGGTTTGGCAAGCTATTCCTTTAGCGTTGTTTTTCAAATCATTAAGCCTGTCAAAGATACACTTCCTTTATTAAGCAATCTCCTGTCTTAAAGGACAACCACAGACGTCCAGAAGACATTAAATGTAATTCTGTTCCACCTCTACTATGTCATTTTAGAAAGCCACCTTTGTTAAGAAATTGATTGCCACACTTTTGTAGTCCCCTAAAAGAACGTCTGAGCACATCGGATTGTTGTTGTTATTTGTTTAAAGGAAGACAAGAATATAGGTGAAAAAGTACTAGGCACTGCCAATTTTACTAACCTGCAAAGAAAACCAACAGAACCAAAAAAAGTCAGGGGTATAAAAATAAGATGCTGTTCCTCAATCTAAAGAACCCTGCAGCATTATAAGGTGGTGTCCAAACAAGAAACAGGTAAATGCAAGCTCTACATACACATTAAAAAGGATGTTGTAAGAATTCCCCAAGACTAGAAATAACTCTTCTGTGACAAGTAGGTTAAAAACATCACTCTAAAAACCTGCTCTATTAGTATACAGAGTATCTAGGAAGTTGATTATAGAATTGTTTCATTAGCACAATTCTCAGTGGAGGGGCTGTATCGGTCAGGGGCTGTGCCTTAGAAACCTGCTGGCTACAACTGTATTCCAACAAAGCTTGAACCAGCACAGGTCTTCACTCAGGATAGACAGGCCCTAAGCAAGCATCAGTTTCTCACAGCAGCCACAATTTTGAAACAAACAAGAATTCATCTATGTTGTAAGAGTATGTTTGCCTAAAACCATCAAAGTTAGTTGACAGTGATTCACCAATTTAGAATATTATGCATTTATAATGGTATCAACAGTTCCGTTAGTTTGAGCAAATGCTGCTTTGCACAAACCTCAAAGATTTAAATGAAGTAGTTCCCAAACCAGCTGTTTTAATGCCCAGAAACAGGGTTACAAGCCCAAACATTTCAGAACTGTTTGTCTACCAAATATGCATGGACACTTCAACTTGTTATTGCAGGATGTGTTGTCTTCCTTACTGAAGCTCACTTTGTGTCCGCTTTGAATTTTTATGCCCAGCCATATGCAGAACAGGAACTATGTTCCATGCAAAAACCCCTCAGTGCTGCTGAGGGGTTTTTTCACTTTAGGAAAAACATGTCAGAAAAATTTGCTGTGCTACCTCTCGCAGTCAGTGTCCTCTGGAAATGAAACAAGAATTAAATGAACAGAATCCCAAATAAAATACTCTGCACTTGTACATTTTCTATGAATTAAAGGATTCTTTGGACATGTTGTCAAGACAGCTAGAAACATCTTCTTACCTGACTGCATAGTCAAGTCCATTTTTTGTGGCTGATACATCAATGGACTGTCTTCATTTAATGGAAGAACACATTTCTGAACAAACCTCTTTCTTGCAGTTTGATTATGAATCTTTTGAGGAGAAATATCAGGATTCCTTTCTTCTCCTAACCTCTTATTTTTCAGGAGTTCTATCAGTGTAAGTGACTGATTTTTTCTCTCGTCATGTAGTACTGCTTTTGTTTCATCACATTCATTTAGGAAACTCAGCCCTTCTTCCTCCGATGCAGACACAGATGTATCTTCAGTCTTTAGGCCATTATGGTATGCTTCAAGAGGTATAACATTCTGAGATAAAAAGTCATCATTTGATGCAAATTTCTGAGCAACAAACGGTCTGGGAATAATGCGGCGGCTGTTCAAAGCCTTTAGGATTTTTTCATACTTCTCTTCATTTTGCATCATCTCATTCAGAACACAGATCGGAGACTTGTGTGCGTCCCACTTGGTTTTGCCAAGCCTCTTCAGGTGTCCTCGCACATGATTAGACAATCCAATTTTAGTATCGAACCAGCCTCCACAGAGCTGACACGTATGCTCAGAGGAAGTTTCAGATTTCTCAATCGCTACAAAGAAAATAGTTTTCATGGTTTTTGACAATTACATACAGTTAAACATTACAATAGCAAATCACAAGGACAAGAGAGGCTTTACAACAAGGTAAAGCAAGTCTTGTTTAGTGCTCAATAAATCCCTTTGTCCCCTTTACTTCATACCCAAATTAAAAAACAAAACCAAAAAACCAACTTACCTTTTCTAACACGTTTAACAGGAGTTCCTGTTCCAGTTCTTTTAAAATGTTGCATTTTGTCACTTGTTGCTATCTGTTCTGGTGAAACAACATGACGGGCTTCATAGCTTAGTCCAGCTCTGTGAAGATGTCCTCTGACATGATTGGACAATCCAACACCTGTTTCAAAGGTTGCTGGACAGTATGGGCAGGACTTCTTTTCAAGCGACAAATCAGTCCAGTGGAAAACTGAGTTATGCTTTGGCAATGCTGATCCTACATTTTCTAAATTCTGAGGATCATGCAAATCATGCAGGAAGTTACTACCCTCAGCATCTTCATAATACTCAAAATAAAAGCCATCATTCTGCTCGTAACTAAGTGAAGATTTATCACCAGCTTCATGATCTTCCATTTTACCTTTGAATATGGGGAATAGGTTTACATGCTCCTGATTAATATCACTGTAAGATTCATCCTCCACAGACTGTGTAGTGTAATCACATAGTTCAACATTATCCCATGAACTTTCATCCTCCGTTTCATAGCTGTCTTTTTTTTCAGCAGAGTTAAGTTTCTGTAAAACAACAACAGTCATTTTATGCAGAAAATCTGGATAGCAATCCAAATCATCTCCTGTAACAGAGCCTTCCCTCTTGGATTCTTTAACCACTCTTTTTACAGCTACATGCCTACGATCTTTACAGCCTTCTGCCCTTTTGCAATCAAGATTATTTGAATCCATGACAAAACAATTATTACGGGGACTACTTGATGAAGAAAATAAATGTAAAGAACTGACAGAGTTGGACTCTTCCTTTTTTAAATGCAAAGGATAAGAGTCACTAGATTTTTTAATCATCCTGTAGTTTTCATATTTGTGTCTATATAAATAATTACTGCTTGTTTTGACACTAGCTTTCTGCTTTGCTGCTTGATGAAAACATTTAGGTTTCTGGTCAATGCTATTTCTAATCAAAACAGTCTTGTTTGTAGAATTTAGATTGCACACACTTACAGATGACTGTGAAATGCTTTTCCGAGCCTTCTGTATCCTGTAGGGTCTCTTGTGAAGTTTTGCGAAGTTACTGGACTGTGAAGTAGAGCCAAATGATCTTTTTACATCCTGTTTTAAAACAGAGTTCTTTGGAAAAGTGGAAGATTGTTTGATCAACTGTTTCGTCCTGCTACCAAAATCTAAAGATTCTTCTATTATGGTGCCTTTTCTTTTTTCTAGTCTAAGATGGCTACCAAAGGGATCAATGCATGATGCTGGGTGCAAATATTCCACGTGTTTTTTTAAAATGCTTCTAGCTGAAGTAGTAAATGGACACATCTTACACATATATGTCGATGACTTTTTTGAGGATCCTAAATACGGATCTTTCAAGGATGCCTTTTTCTGTGTTTTCCTCTGGGACATGTCGCTACCGATAATTGAACATTTGACTACTGCTCCATGAGCGATCCCTCGATGGCATTCCAGTTCATTTTCTGTCACAGCCATGAAGTTGCATTCCTCACAGCAATAATATCTTTTATCTTTTTCATGGGTCTTTGCATGCTGCACAAACGTTTTGGGACAATTGGTACCAAATACACACTGTGGGCACTGTAAGCGTGCACTCCTACCCTCATCCTGAAGTTCTTTCAGCTCACGGATTTCTTCCATCAGTTTCTGCCTTCTTTCCTGGTGAATTATCATATGTTTAAGAAGTGAATTACGATCTCGAAATGTCCTTCCACATTCCCTACATGCATAGGGCCTGGGGACATTGAGATGTCGGAAATGACTGTTCCCATCTAAATGGTACATCATATGCCTATGCAGATGTTTCTTCTCCCTAAAATTCACATTGCACTTTGTACATGGATAAAATGATGGTTCATCAGTACTGAAAGTAGATGGCGATTCAGAATCATTCTGTTCACATTTATTTTTTAAAGTATTGGAAAGAAAAGTGCTAGTGTGAACAGGAGAAGTATCTTCTGCACAGTTACTAGTGGGACTATAAATGAGCTGCTGGATAGCATCAACAGCTTCCAGCTCTTCATCTGTGGATTCAGGCTTTACTTTACTCAATGAGTATTTTTGTGGTTCTACTATTTGTAGCTCCTCATTCTGCTCTAAGAAGTCAACATTTAATAGTTTTGATTTACTGGGAATACAACTGGTATCACCAAAACAGTCTTCAGTATAGCGTGTTATTTTACTAACATCCATTTTCCTTTTTCGCTTTTTCTCTAAGCCTACTTTACAGTGAATGGGAGACTTCTCTATTGTTTCTTCATTTGTCATAAGAAACTGTATAAACTCTTTTTGTGGATCCCAGCTGGGATCACATCCCGATCTAAAACCACCTGTACCTGAGGAAATGCCTGTTAATGTATCGACACAATCATCTTTTACTAGTAAATTTTTATCATCCTCACAAACTTCTACTTGGCCTACTAAAGTGCTATCTACACTATTTCCTACTGATTTCTGTGAATCACAACCAATTGAAGCAGAGGTAGGTAGATTTTTAATGGAATGAGTCAGGTTCTTAGCGTGTGCTACATCAGGTAACAAAAATAAAACTTGGTGCTGATTTGATTTCTGCGTTGTACTCTTTGCAGGCAGCTGAAGATCATGAACCACTGTCAAAGTTGAGCAGGAATCTGTGTGATGAGCTACAGGCTGTCCAGTGGTTAATGAAACACTGCCTTTATTCATAATGGAAGTCTTAGTTGAGGTGGAGTGTGAAACTGGTCCATTAACAGCAGTTCCTCTAGACAAGATAAAGTTTTCGCTAGAAACAGTAGGAGCACCAGTGTGTATAAATAGCGAAGTCTGGCCTCCACTTAAGGCTTTTTCAGATCTGTCCCTTGATAGCTCCTCAGGCAGAGTCAATGTATTGTTCTTCTGAAATGACGTGTCGCTCTCTTGTGGTTTAGGAATGCCACCTTCTTCCTCAGATATGAAGTTATCATCACACAGGATTTCTTCTTCTTCTTTAGCACCAGTGACTTCAGTATTTATCTCTAAATCATCCATATTGCTGGTCTGTCCATTCAGTACATTTATACTAAAAAACAAAGAAGAAAAGAATCAGGCAATCACAGAAATAAATAATGGCAAATGTAATTTACAGTTTTCTTCAGGATCACCCTTCTTCACATTGTAATCTAAAAACATGTTTTGAACTTGTTAATTTTTTTTATTTAGTATATTCAAGACATGTTTAAAATTAATCAATGAAGCAATTAAAAAAAATTATACTTTTTTGCTATGCAATATTACTAACCATACAGCAAACTAGCCACTGCCCAGTATCCCAGTTCAAAAAAGCCTGAACACCTACCTACAAGCAAAATGGGGGAAATTAGATTGTCAAAACCTATGCAAATACATTCTGCGTGTATATTAACATAAACACAGAGTTCATCTTTAGTTGTTTTCCAGAAGTAAAACAAGTTAGGAGTAAAGGCCACCCAGACATCTGCTAGTCATTTTAGTGATTTTTTTTAAAAAAAAAACAAAAACAAAACATACTTCCCTTTAGCAGCTAGGAAACTAAAATAATCTTTATGTATCTCAAGGTATCACTTTTTTCAAAGTGCTCGTATACAACTGACCTGATGCTACACAGAAGCCTACAGAAGTGTTTACTTTGGTATTAAAGGAGAAAACACAATTAAGCTGATTTTGAACATCTGATTACTGATAGAGACATAGCAAAGGATCAAGCTCACTGAAGAAATTAAATGTCTCCCCATTCCCTTCTTACAAAAGGACTCTCCTTGCTTTAAAATAAATAAATCAGATTCTACTTATGTTATAAGGCCTTTTAAAATGATAAGCAAATAAAATAGCATCTTCTCAAAGATGAAAAAAAAACCACAATTAGAAAGAAACATTTAATTAGGATTTACCTACCAGAGAAAATCACCATGTTGAATCCAGAGCATGACAATAATAGTATCTACTAGTACAGAGAACTACTACATAGTAATTCCCTCTGGGAGGCCTTGTGTACATAAATATGTCTTTCTACAAGTGACTTTCATTCATACACAAAATCGTCTACCCAATGCTTAGTGAGCACAAAGGAGTTGCCTACACATGAAAATCAGTGTGTAATAAACAGCATAGTGAACTTAAGTCTACCCTGGCATTTACCCCTTATATAGGTCCTCAGAACACAGTAAGCATAAGGCATTAAAACACCCATCTAGATGCCGGAAACATTTATCTATATTTTACAGAAATCACATATTTTACCCTTAAAGGATGCTATTTGCTTTGATCTTTTGGGGGATTTGAGTCCTGCCATCACATACTTAGTTTCAGTTACTAATTAACATTTTGAATAGAGCTCAATTAAAAGGAGTCATTACCTAGACTCTTTGAATTAAGATGTTATAACTCACAACTAATATCCATGGCTCCCTGCAATGGTCCTTCATCGAAATCAAGGAAGACCACGCTTGACATCCTTTTTTCCTAAGGAGAGAAAACATCCTGGTTAAACGACATCACTTTCATCTTTATACGTCACACTCTAAAATGAGTCCAGCATTTCTATTAGTTTTTCAATTCAACATTATGATAGCTATCCACACAATTCAAAGCTAGCTACGGCCTCATGGAAATTCTCTGTTATTGTGCTTGTTTTCTTTCAAATCAGCAAAAGGACAAAACAAATACTTGAACCTCCTTTAAGTTTGTGAAGAACAAACCTTAATGTAATACGACTTATTTACTATTTGGAAGATAAAAGATATTTGGAGTAGAAATATAATGAAAAAAATTTTGCCATTAAAAAAGTGTTTCCTTTGCTACTCAATCATTGAACTAGCCAATTTAGAAATACAGCAACACTCTGTCAGGCACATAATAAATGCTTGAAGTGTATGAAATATTCTATTGTATTATTTATCTATAACATACCTTTATGCAAGTGTTCTACTAGACACCCCAGTTTCTCATCTTCCCATTTCTTAGATTTTTGCATTTCTTCGCTGTTGTGAGATGGGTAATTTTCCACCACAATAAAGACTTCCAATAAGATCACATTCAAAGCTATCACCCTAAAATGGTGATAATGCACCACCCAGCAGGAGTCTTTACATCACATACACAAGTTAGAAACGGGCAGTGCAAACATGCACTAAGAATCAGTAATGCAAAAGTCAATTAAAAGAAGTGAAACCTCCAAGGATGCACAACAGCTCCAACAATTTTACAACTGAATAGGGTAACCTTCATATAGCATCAGGCAGCAGAGTATAAAAAAGTTCACAAAAAGTTTAGAAGAAATTTAGTAAGCCAATTCTACATGAAAGATGTGCGTTTTCCTCATTTTATTACTGCAGAGGTAGACAAATGTATGCTCAGTCAATTTGAGAGCCTACATTAGCTTTTCTCAACAGGAAGCAACGTTGCTAACGAAGTGGTAAATTCAGTGTTAATGAGTGGCTTCACTGTTACCACCTCTGAGGTAAAACCTTCCATGTTCCAAGTTCCACCCATCTGTTCTGGTGTGAGGGGCTCAGAGGAAGAACAGACGCTTCCCATTTAAAGCAACTTCATCGGTACCCCCCAAACAGCAGGGAGGCAAACTGAGAATATCGTGTCTGCTTGGAGATTGCAATCCTCATTATCAGAATGGCTCCTGAAAACTTTTCACAGGTTTACGTGATGAAGACAAAACCATGTGGCTCTACATACAAAACCATACTGACACTAAATCTTAGTGTTAAAGCTTAAGCTAAAAAGGTGGCTAGGGCACCACACGATCACCTTTAAACTGAGACTCTCTTCAGAGTTATCATGAGCAATATCTAAAACATTACGCTGTGCAATCTTGTAAGAGACTCCTTTCAATATTGTGTATTTATGGAGATTGTGAACTATTCCATATGGATCTGATTAGAAGTCTTCTATGGTAATACAGCTGTCCCTACAGATTTCAGTCTTTGAATCAAGGCTGAAATGCCTACTGTATCAATAATATTGCTGTTACATTTCAATAATTTTCTGCTAATTATCACATTTTCCCCAGCTATCAGGGTGGTACAATTCACTATTTTACATGCAGGACAACAAACAAGAAAGTTAACAGTTTTAACAGCGTGGTATTAAAGAAAACATGTATCTTTTTAAATCACAGGAATTGAGAGTCTTGTGATGACACTGAGCCAAGATGCAATACTTCATTTACATTACCTACTCCATGTGTAGAAATTTATGCAGAAACAATGATAGGTGTAACTAGACACATGCAAGAAAACATTCCACATAATGCCATCGTTTTTGGGGAAATGTTATCATCTAACTTGTACCATTCAGGAAGCGCAACACCCAAACTGAAACACTACCTCATCTGAACACTCTGGGTAAAAAAAAAGAAAAATCAATCATTGTAACAACTAAGATGTAACCAAGGTTTTGCAATATTCTTTGCATATTTCCATCACAATTTTGAAGTTATCTTCTCTATACCGTATCAGAAATACACTAAGTAAGGACTAATAATTTGTGTATTTGAAAAATTAAACACTGAGGTCAAACTTTAAATTTGCTGCCAGTAGTGCTTGTTATATCCTCTACCAAGGCAAGCACTATACAGTTGAAGTAATTTTTATTTAAGCACATAGTGCAATATACCTAGGAGATAGGTAAGTGTAAAAATGGCAATGCTCAAAAAGCCTACACAAGCGTACACAATCCCAGGCTCATACCTTTGAAACACACTTTATCTAAAAGGCTAGACCAAATTCAATTCAATTATTTCCATTAAGCCTAGAATGACTGTAGTGCAGTTAACAGTGTTATTCCTGGTTTACATGATACACTATTTATTATATAAAATTATTTCATATTCAAAAGTAGAAAACAACCAATTACTTAGCCAACTAAGCCACATTCCACCCCTGTTTAATTAAGTACTTTAAATTTACATAATATTTCATAGTTTTTCTTCATAAAATATCAGTTTTTAAAATCATAATGAGTTCTGCAGATATGGCTGCCTGTGGCCAGACAGTCTACGCATTAACAAAGTATAAGGTCAGATCTATCTTCAAACTGACAGATCATAATGTCAATGCCTTAAGCTAATCTTATTGTCTCAAAAATCTTGAACATCAGTATTTTTGCAAACTATCAGCACTTGCTATAACACCCTTACTACACTACATCTTGAGGTTACTACAGAAGAAATGAGGTGATAATTGCATATTAACATAATTATTCGGTAATCCCTCTGAGCAAGCTTCCTAGGTCACTCAGTAATTCAGATTAGATGCAACCTTCCTGTCATCAGATCTATGCTGTCCACTTTCTGTTCATTAATAATTCCTTTTGATAGGAATGTACTTAATTTCATTGTTCTATGTACATTTTTAATTGTATTTATTACCAGTAGGTTTACGACATTTCCAAGTTCTTATTTCATAATGACAACCTTCGCTATGTAATAGGGTCACACACCACATTAAGAGAGTATTGCCTTCATGCAATGCTAGTTATTAAAGCTTACACTCCAGTGCTAAGTGTACTACGCTGTTGCCTACTAGCAGTTGTAGTTAGAGATTTGTCAGTTTCTGTTACAAAACCCACGTTATTTTACAAGGATTTACAATAAATTTGAAAGCACATTGGAGCTGAAAAATTAAAATGGAAGAATCTGGTTGAGTTTGTGAAAAGCATGAAGTGCTTTTATGTGTTCTGATATCAAGTTTAATGAGAAATTCGTAAATATAAGCCAATGAGCTAAAAGCACAGAGCAACTATTAAGTGGCACAAAAACATAGAAGCCATCTCCTAAGTGGATTGAATTTAATCAGCCTAGTTAAAGTAACTGACGAAATACAGTCTTTCAGCAGTGCTGTAATGAAGGCAAAAATATACTTGTCCTGTGCTAAGTAACTCCTCAGAAGTCAACTTCTTTAAGCAGATACATGAATAACCAGGACACTCAAGGAATTATTCAAATATTCAAGAGATAGGAAAGGTGCTTCAGGTTTGCACTGTTCACATTTAGATTTTTCTTCAAGACTTTGTTATGTAAACAGAGAAAACTAACAAAACCTATCATTTTATCCACAAGCATTCCTGTAATAAAGCTTTCTCAAATGACAGATTATATTAAAGATGATGGAACCAGTGTCACACGTTTTTAGGTGTCATGGTTTAACCCCAGCTGGCAACTAAGCACCACATAGACACTCGCTCACTCCCCCCAGTGGGATGGGGAGAGAATCTGAAGGGTAAAAGTGAGAAAACTCGTGGGTTGAGATAAAGACAGTTTAATAGGGAAAGCAAAGCCACACACGCAAGCAAAGCAAAACAAGGAATTCATTCACCACTTCCCATCGGCAGGCAGGTGTTCAGCCATCTCCAGGAAAGCAGGGCTCCATCACGCCTAATGGTGACTTGGGAAGACAAACACCATCACTCTGAACGTCCCCCC